CCTTTTATTATAACAAAATACAAATATACATACAAATTGTAAATTTAGGTATTAAATATAATACCAGTTTTGTAAATATTTTGAAATATACCATTTGTGGTAACTTTAAAAAAAACTTCTTAATTTATTTAAGTATTTTTTACGCCATTTTATTTAATGTCATTATATAAAATATTTTTTATTATTTTAAATTTTAAATCTATACCTAGAATACCTAATATATAATAATATAATATATATATAAATTTGTTTACCTACAAATTTTGTTCGATTTACCAATATTTTTAAATTATGTTGTTTTTTGTATCAAATTATATTACATATTATATTATGTATGTAAGACTTAAGTAAGAGTAAATTATATTTTTTAAGTCGAATTTTTAAATTAAATGCATCAATGTTTATCAACCTAGGATATAAGAATTTTATATAGAAATTATTTGCCATATTTAAGACATTTTGTCATATACATACATATATAAAATAAATATGAGGGTCCTCAAGAATTATAATATAAAGGTCAAATATTTATTATATACGCAATTTGTAGTATTTATTTAAAAAAATTTATAAAATAAATTTAAATATTTTCAAGTACCAAAATACCTGTTTTGTAACATTTATGTCATTATTTTTTTTAATATAACCAGATTTTATAAATTAAATATTTAGGACATTGTATCGTCATTTATATAATGTTTAAGAATTTAAAAAATATATTATTGCAAAATAAAAATAATAATAACCTTTTATTATAACAACATACAAATATACATACACTTTGTAAATTTAGGTATTAAATATAATACCAGTTTTATAAATATTTTGAAATATACCTTTTGTGGTAACTTAAAAAAAACTTTCAAATTTATTTAAGTACCTATTTTTACGCCATTTTATTTCATGTCATCATATAAAATATTTATTAAATATGTACCTAGAATACTTAATATATAATAATATATTATATATAAAAATTTACCTACAAATTTTGTTTGATTTACCAATTTAAATTGTTGTTTTTTGTATCAAATTTTATTACAAATTATATTAGACTTACGACTTAATTTTTGATTTTATATTTTTACCAGTTTTATAAATATTTTTTAAAGGACACCTTTTGTAATTTTTTTAACAAACCTAAAAAATAAGTCCAATTTTTTTAATTTTAATTCAATAGGTTTTTATACCTTAAATTTTGTTAAAATTAGCAATATTATTTTATGATATGTATATGTACATATGTAAATATAGGGTAGCGTTTTTATAATTTGTAAGTTTTAAAAATATATTATTGCAAAATAGACATAATAATAACATTTTATTATAACAACATACATATACATACATATTGTAAACTTAAGTAGATATTAAATAAAATTCTAGTTTTGTAAATATTTAAAAATTTATCATTTGTAGTAACTTTTTTTTTAAACTATTAATTTTACGTCATTTTATTTCATGTCATCATATAAAATATTTTTTATTATTTTAAATATATACCTAGAAAACCTATTGTTAGTACCTATTTTTACGCTATTTTATTTCATTGTATCATACCTATAAAGTATTTTTTATTATTTTAAATATATACCTAGAATACCTACAAATTTTGTTTGATTTACCAATATTTTAAAATTATGTTGTTTTTTGTACCAAATTTTATTATATATACTTATGACTTAATTTTTGATTTTATATTTTTACCAGTTTTGTAAATATTTTAATAATAATAATAATGTATAAGTATATAAAATACACAATTTGTTGTAAATATTTCACAAACCTATAAAATAAATATGTATATAAATTTTTGTACGCCATTATAAATAAATTTTAATATAAACCATAAAACACAAATTTTGCTCGTTTTGCGGATTTCTTTGTTAACATAACATAAGATCTACCAAATAAATAGCGGTAATGTGCCTAGTTTATAATTAAATTGCACAACTTAATATTTTTTATATATATCACACCATTGCGCAATTTTATAAATATTTTTTTAAATTGTACAACTTAAATTTATTGAGAAATAAACAGTTCAGGTCTGAAGATTATTTGATTTATTATATTTGTATTTAATAATATTGCAGCCTATTTAAATTTCAGTCCTATTCTGTTAAATTATGTGCCTAATAATTTTCGATAATTTTTGCATAAAAAGCATAACACAGCTAAAATATACTAAGCATGCTACAATAAAGAAGTATTTAACGGGTTTTTGTATCGAAAAAAATATGTTAGTATAAAAATAAATTTTCAATTTAGAAAACGAAAACAATGGATCTGTACTTACTTTCAAAAGGCTCAAATCTAATCTCCAATATAATGTAATTTAAACTCTATTAGAGTTAATAAAATGTATTCAGGAAAAATACAAATTAATTCTGTAAATAAATAGTTTTATAGGGTAGTCAATTAATTGTTCTAATAATTATAAAAAATGTTGTTAAATATGTTTATTTAGTTTAAAAATTCATAATATACAAACGCCAATAGGTTGCTTACGATAGATAGGAGTTGTATGGATTTAAATAGATAATGTTTCTATAAATAAAACTAAAAAAGGTTAGTATAAAGTTCAATCAAGTAAAACATTAGAATAAAATTATGTTTCGTAAGTCCAAAATTAAACACAAAATTCGCTCTTTCTAGGGGCACCAAATTAACCAAAACTTCTTAGGTCCGAATTATTACCAAAATCGCCCTCTAATCCTGACCGTATCCTACTCAGCGAATTGTACGTAATTAAGAGGGCGTCTGACGTCATAGCCTTTTATTTTTAGACATGCGCTTCTAGGTTACTTAGTTTTACTCGAAACTGTCATGGCGTCTATCGTGACGCCATTTTGGGAAAACGATGGTTAAATCGGCAAATGTTGTTTTTTCTGAAATTAACGAACATATTTCATACCAAATATTACGGGGTTGGTGAGTTTTTTAGTTTTTCATGTCTTAAGCCCTGTTTCGACTAAGTATCACGCTCAATTCACATTGGCCATATGTGAAAAAAACTTAGACCACATCGTCGAAACAAAACGAAAGAACTAGGTACCTGATTTCTCTGCATTTCAATTAAGTATATAAACGATCAAACACTACCAGTTTTACCAGAAAATACCCTTGATAAACTTAGCCTTCTCCTTTATGCACTCCACACACTGTACGTACTGCTTCTCACACAAAATTCGACTACGCCTCGAAATCGGAGGGTGGTGGTATTTATACTCGATCCCCTTCCAACGTTTTCTAGAACAGTTGTATTGATCGCGTCGCCCGGGAAATATTTCTTCCCTCTCTTTCTAGATTGTTGTATCCGCTGTCCGTCCTTTTCTACCCACAGTTGACGTCATCGGCCTACTGCGTAGTTTCTAGAAACGTCCATGGAAACCAAACGGTTGCCATACGTTTTGGTAAATTTTAACAATAAAACATACCTACTCACAATGTGTTTTAAAGAAAATTTGTTTTTTTAAGTTTTTTGTACACCTTTATTTTTAATTAATTGGAAATGTCAATGATTGTTTTAAAAGTTCTAAATTAGAAAGTTTTAAAATAGAACAATGACTAATTTTATTTATTAAATTTCGCAATATTTAACAGTCTAATATTTATATAATTTTTCTAGTAGAAAATTTCTACAGTAACATAACATATTTAATTTTTAATGTTATTATGCCTATGCTAAACTTTGCAGATGTTTTTTAATTAGTATCTTTCAAGATATCTCAACTATTATAGTTGTTACTTAAATATACAGGGTGGTAGCATATATAGGTAGTAATCGAAGAAGCAAAAATAATTGGGAATTTTTTAATTTTTTTCAATCTATAGTTTGCTGCCGTGTTTTATATTATAAATTTCATAATAAATTAAATGGTGTACAAAATAGGTATGACCCTGACATTTCTACTTATAGTTTAAACTTTACCACAGTATACAGGGTGAGTCATTGTGTAGATGTAGATTTTGTCTAAAACATTTTTTCATATTTATATGATATATGATTTATGATATATTATAGACGGCGCTGTAATGATAAAAAATCAATTTTGTTCGATTTTTCTTCTGTATACGATTCTGCAATAATTTTTTAATAAAATATCACTTTTTTTGGTTATAATTATCTTATAAAATTAAATCTGATTTTTTTAAGTACCCACGATTTTTAACTAATATTTAAGTTTCCTTTGGTGATAATTATCAATTGCGCACCATGGTCACTTTTTACCTGCCAGCATTAAATCCTTTAATTTAAAGGATTATTGTACTATTTATAATAAAAATAGGTACCTACCTCATTTAAGGTAAAAAAACTATATTTTGTCAATTAATTAATTTAATCCTAATTGAATTATAAAAAATGGTATTTAGTTATAAATAATATTATTGAGGTATAAAGAAACTATTTATAGTTTAGCATTATTTAATCAATTTAGTTCGAAGATTAATTTGCAAACAAAAACACCTTTCGTTAAGCAGTTATTCATAATTGATTTTTTAACAGTAGAAGAAAAAATAGAAATGATTTTGATTTATGGAGAAGCAGGCAGGAATCTTGATGATGCTGTTAATATCTACGCTCAGCGTTTTCCGGATAAAATTCGATCACGAAAATTAGTATTTAGAGTTTGTTTCATAAAATTTTTGTTAAAAATAATAAATAATGTTACTCTACTTTACGCATTTTAATATTTTTATTAACCTATCTTAAATTTGTATATTGTAAATTATTTTTTTTAACAAGCAGAACTTTTTATAAATAAATAATAAAGATTTTGTCCACTGGTTATTCCTGACCTATTGCATTTTTAAACAAAACCAGAGCCTTAGACCAACCCTGTACAAGGGGTTAAAAAACTTTGCTCCCCTTCGCATTTTTAATAGAAATAATACTAGTATAAATAATACAATGGCATTTTTGTTATATTTTTCCGGCCAGGTGTTAGTAGTTATAGGTGGGGTTGCCAGATATCCGGTCATAAAATCTTGGTAAACCCGACAAAAGATAGACGCGTCAATAAAGTTTAAGTCCTTTATTTAAAATCATACAATAATTATTATGAGCTAGCTATTAGGTGATCTTTTTTCTCCAATATTGGAAGATCGTATCTGTGGCGCCGGTTGCATACGCTGCTGCATTCTAGCCTTGAAAACTAAATTGTCTATTTCGTGCATCACCACATCTCTATATTCTTCATCCAACTTCCGCAATTTCGACGCCAATAACTCTGCAAAAAGACAGCATTCGTCTTTGTCAGTTTTAGTTGAGTTCTCATCACATAGATTATTACTATGAGTTTTCGACATTTCCAATGGATCGTTTGCTGTTGCAGTAGACGGATTTTGTTGCTTTGATGAAAAATTATCCATTTTTAATACATATCTACTCAGATCCTCATCCTCATCCTCGCAGCATTCGTCTTTGTCGCTTTTAGTTGAGTTGTCATCACATAGATTATTACTACGAGTCTTTATTATTTCCAATGGGTCGTTTGGGTGCTTTGCTGAAAAATTATTCATTTTCAAGACATATCTACTTAGATCCTCCTCGCCAAAGTTTTCTGTAATTTCTTCTTCAGTTTGCTCTTTATATGATGTTTCTTCATCTGTCATATTAACATCCTGAAAAAAGTAAACTAAAAGGAAAAGAATTGTTTTACAATGTTTTAAAAACCTATCCTCCGTGACTGTTACTCTTTCTAGGTTAATTAACCTATATGTTTTCAAATATCTGAGGTAGTGCACTAGTGAAAGCATACTAAAAATATCAGTTCACCAAGTAAATCAAATCAAAATAAAATATTATTAAAAATTAAAAGAAATAATTTTTATAACCATTTATGTAGGTGCTACAAAAATTTATTCTATCCTCCGTGAATCTGTTTTTCTTTAAATTTTATGCAACGGATGGCGCTTTAGTCATTTAAATAAGCAAAAACCTCTGTTTACGACATTATAGATGCATGTGATTCCTGAAGGTCATTTAGAATTTATATGCAGATGAGGGTGTTGCTGTTTTAAAATTCAAAAGTTTAAGTTCATTAATTTTCTATTTAAAAACCTATCCACCGTGAAGTGTAATATCTCAGTAAGTAGATTTTTTTATAAATATTTTATGTTTGTACAATTGAATTTTTAAAAAATATTAAGGTGAAAAGATACAATAACTTATTTCAAATATGCAAAGGGAAAAATTAATTTTGTGGTTATGTTTAAAAGCCACTGCTTTCTTCCGCCATTTTTGCCACGCATTCAGAAGTTTGGTTATGTTACCCTCGATGTTTGTAACATTTGCAGACATATATGTACATATAATATATTGCATATTTTTTACTTACTTGCTTGATAAAATTCACAAGTGTGTGGTTAAATTTGGGTTGATAAATGCCCGATAAAAATTCGTTCATCGATTTAAAGGCAAACCATGGGGATTTGTAGTTTTTATCCTCTTCCTGTCTTCGCGTTTGTTTTCGAAAAATCGCCATTAAAGACTCCTTTTTTCTTTTCAAATCTTTTACAGGGTGCTTGACGCTTAATGCATTGTGAATTCTTTGCCATGATTCGACCAACGCGCCACGATCTTTATGACGAGGGTGTTCAGGGTTCCAAATTACCGGTTCCCTCGAATAAAGTTCAACAAACTCCAGCACCAACTTATTCGTCCATTCCATTTTCATGAATACTTGGTTAAAAAACAATTAAACCGAACCACAAACATGCTCAAATCAATAAAAAGGTTCGACGAACGTTTGACATTACACCAACGATGGTGGGAATGCACCAATATTCAATGTTGCCAGATCTATTCCATTTTTCTTTTTAAAATTGTTCATTTTTTATTATTATTAACCAATTAGTTATATTACTTAAAATATTATATGTATTATAATTGTTCGTTTATTGGAACAATTTAATAATGATTATTCTTAAAATATTAAGTTTAATGTATGCAACCAAATTGGATTATAAAAACAGCTGTATTTTATTATCGCAAGTATATGCAACCCAGAATACGGTACCTTTAGTAACTTTTAGTTTATTACCATTATTATTGGTTATGTTTAAATTTTAAAAGTTGTGAAATGTTTATTTTCTATGCTATTCAAACGGTTGTGTTTTTATCCAGTTAAGTAAATGTTAAAATATAAATAAATATTTGCCCAATTGATTGACATATTACGGTTAAACCTCTGTGGTTTCCCGGTAAAAAAATAACCTCAAATAACAACAATGAGTTTCTTTGAATTAGACTGTTTAAATGAAGATGTTTTAAGCAAAAAAGAAAAATTTCTGCCTCTACTAATTATATCCTTTTTATATTAATATATTTTTGTGTGAATTAACAATATATGCCTTAATAAAATATACAGTTCGATTGAAAATGAAGAACCCAAACAAATAGCTGAAAACGCTAAATATGTGTGTGATTTTATATCAGAATATGACGTAGCTGTTGTTAATGATGAACTTTTAGTTCTTATTGTTCCTGCAATTAAAAATAGTTTGGAAAAAGTGAGTAATACACAGTATTGAGTTTGTTGGTGAGACGTAATTTTTTAGTGTTTTGAAGACAATATTTTAATTGCCACCACTACCGATGATATGGGCATGCAAGATATACTCAAAGAAAATTTAAACGTAAGTTTATATTTATTGTAATAGTTATGTTTTTAAATAAAAAAAATTTTAGACGGCAGTATTATTGTTGGACATTTTTAAAAATATATTGGAATATTTTGCAGCACAAGAAAACATACTGTTGACTCATATTTTATGCCTTCCAGTTAATGTTGCAAATTCGTTGCTAAACAGTTTTAAACATTGTAAAGAAGGGTATTTATATGGATATAGTAAGGTATGTTACAACATTAATATTTTTAATAATTTTAGACAGGATATCTACAAAAATAATTTTAACACAGAGTTACTTGAACTGTTTAAAATAGCACAGGATGTTCATTCAGTATTATTAAAAACAATTGAAAGTTGTTGTTTGGAAGGAGTTAATACAGAAATCTGTAATAATTGTAATTTGATTATTATATTAAAATTTTCCAATGCACTAATGATTATTTAGTTTTAGATAATTTAAGTGATATTGGTGAGATTTTATCAGAAATTAATGTAAAATGTATGGCTGATAATTGGAAAAGTTACACTTTGATTACAAAAAAAATCACAACAGTTGTTAAAATAGATATGACTGCACATTTAAGCAAAAATTTTATTTGTTTGGAAAAAATAATTTGTAAAAATATCGCATTATTTAAGGAAAATGTATGGAAATTGTTTATGTCTATTATTATTATTATTAATATAAAATCTTTTAGATTGATTCAGATAAAAAAACAGCTCTACAAAGCCTGAAAATATCAATATTTTTAGTTAAAGTTGTCATTAAAATATGTGACACATTTTGGGCCTTGCTAAAGAATTTACTAAAACCTATTTTAAAATTATGTCTCACAATTTATAGGTATTTTTTATAGTAAATTTTAGGTTTTATGGTTTTTAAAATTTTATTTTGTTTTGTTTAATATTTATTTGAAAAAATTAACACTCATAGTGTGAATTAACCTTAATGATATCATTGACAGATGTGTTTTGGTTTTGAGGTTAAGTTTTCTGAAATTTAATACATGACTGTATGATTTTTAGCGGACATAATGGGACCAAAGAAAACAGAGATTTATACAGTAACGCAATTTTGGAATTATTTAAACCATTCTTGCAAAAGTTGTGTGATGAATCGTATTTTTTACAAGTAAACACTATATATATGTATATGGGTGAATATATTGAGATGTCCCCTGAGTGAAAATGATTATTTTTTATTTTTGGTTGTTTCACATTTTGAATAGCTTCACGGAGGTTAGGATTTCATATGTTTTTTTCTAAACATCCCTTTGTATATTTGAAATATATTGTATCTTTTGACACCTTAATATTTTTTAAAAATACAATTGTACATACATAAAATATTTATTAAAAAAATATACTTACTGAGATATTACACTTCACGGTGGATAGGTTTTTAAATGGCAAATTAATAAACTTAAACTTTTGAATTATAAAATAACAACATTCTCATCCGTTGCTTTAAGCAAAAACAGATTCACGGAGGATAGAATCAACACCTACATAAATGGTTATAAAAATTATTTCTTTTAATTTTTAATAATATTTTATATTTGATTCGATTGCTTTGGATGTGTTTAATTTACTTAGTGAACTGATATTTTAGTATGCTTTTACTACCTCAGATATTTGAAAACATATAGGTTAACCTAGAAAGAGTAACAGTCACGGAGGATAGGTTTTAGACTTTTAAACCATAGTAAAAAATAAATAATTGCGGTTAAAAATCTGTAATATCTACTTAATTAATATGAAAGATCAAAACACAATAAAAGTGTAGGTCAAACTCATTTAGTTTAGTCACCATCAAGGGACATTTCGTGAGATTCATCCATATATATATTTTTTTTTCTTGCCCACTTATTATTTACGTATTTTAGGAGCTAGAAAACTATAATATAAACGACAAAAACAAATTTATGTTCTTCAATTTGTTAAACAATGTTTTTGATGTGTTAAAAACATGTCAAAATGAACCTGACATCGAGAACTTACTAATAAAATTTTTTCAAACGGTCAAATTAAGTCGGATATTCAATATAATAGTAATTGGGTTATATTTGTAATCAAAAATTATTTTAGGTTATTCTGAATTGACTTTCGGAATAAATCTATATGATGCTGCTTTGGTTAATATTTCTGTTTGTATTTTAATATTAAAATGCTCAAATTTGGAAAATATTTTGCTTGCAAATGTTTTGCAAACAAATATTTGGTGTAATATGTTGGCAGTAGATATTTGGTGCATAATTTTAAGGTTATTTGTAAAAAAAATTGTACTTAATGAAATTGTTGTTAAAAATTGTATTTTTTAGTAATTCTGAATCCAGTTTAGTACTACAAACATTACTTGACCTTATTTCAATACAACAACTATCAGATTTTGGCATTTTCACAAAAAGAATAGAAAATTCAAATTTAGATAATCTTGTTAAAAGAATTTATAAATTATTACCAGTGGACTGTAATAAACATATTGCCCTTCAATATCCACCAAATGAAAATATTACACTATGGAACATTTTGGGGTATCAAAACTTATCAATTTTGGAAAAAAATATAATTCTTCAAAATCTACCTGACAAGGCATTTTGCAAAAACAACTTAAATAAATTGGAGAACTTTCAACATTTTTATTTATCGGTATATATATTAAAAAAAACATAATTTTATAGTATAGTATATTCTATTTTAGTTGCAATATTTGGAAGCTAATAATTTAATAACAAATGGGGGCCTGAATATATATTGGCTCAATGATCTTTGGAGTTTTCACAAACCACCTGAAAATATTTTAAATAATAACATATTTAAAATGTATTTTACAGTTTTAGGAAAAATAACATTAAATAATATAAAAAAATTACCAAAACCCCTAATTATGACGGTAAGTTTATTATTAATAAGTATGCGCTAAAGAAGTGTTGTTGGGTGTATTTCGAGAGGAAATCCTGGGTTGAGTTTTTACCGGTTTTCCAATAAACAGTGTTAATCCGAATGAAGAAATAAATTGCATACAGTCTCTGTAAATATAAATTGTACCTATTAGATACAATAAATACACATTTTAGTAGCGATTAAAGTGAAAAGTGTAAACATTTCAATTCAGTTAAAATCGTCAAAAAAATAAGTCATCTAAATTTAAACAGCATTTAGCATTATTAAAAGCGTTGATTAAGAAAGTCTCCACTCAACGGTAAAATACCGTTATATTATGTATTATATATAATGTTATGTTGCCATGAATTCGTAGGTATATTTTGTTGTTTAAAATGCAGTTGTCGGTGTTTTTTAGAGAACTCGAACATAAAAATGGTTGATTTTAAGGTTATGTTTGTGCAAAAATTATTTTTACTAATTTCTTAAAAATGTCCAAACTTAAATATAAATTATATTAGGTAAAGTTATCATTAGTTAATTCTGCACCAACAAATGTACTTACCGAATTGGATCCTTTGGCAAAACATGAAAATGCAACGATTTAGTTCTTGAATTTTATTTACAATTAAAAACACAATAATTCACCATGATCCCTTTGATAAAATACACACACTAACGTAACTATACAAGCATTTAAGCGTTGAGTTTCTTAATCAATGATAATATCATATTATAAGGAAAAACCAATCGAAATCAAGAACTAAAAAAGTTTTTTAATTTATTCCTTGCAACGTAAAACAATTCTTAAATTCACTTCTTTAGCGTATAATAATAATAATTATTTATTTAATTAATATGTTTTAGATTTTGGATCAATTACTATTATTAGGCTGTGAAAACGAATTTAAATCTTTAATCACAGACATCATACATGAGCTATGCCTAAGTTATCAAGAAGAATTTGGTCCAGATCAATACAAATTGTATCGCATTTTGGGGGGCTTAATTTATCCGGTGTTACTAAAAAATTGCGATGTCACAAAAAAAATTAAAATCTACGATTTAATTGGCAAACTAAACGACAGTCCTGCTTATAAAAATGTGGTTAAAACCGTGTTCCAAAATGCTGTGGATTTACAGAACGAAATGGGAAATTTTATTAAAGAAAATTTTCAGTTGTGTTTAGATCCGAATTATATACAGTCAATAGAAAAAGTTTCAATTGATCATAGCTGTACACTATGGAGAAGAGATGCTTTTAATAAAGGAATTAAATCAAAGTTATCTCATAGTTTGCAACAAACAGAATTTAAAGAAAAAATTAAAAGCGATGATAAAACTTCTAAATTAAATTTTAAACCCACGGAAAATTTGGAGTTTCCACCAGCTAAAAAATGCAAGATGGATGAAGAGACGCCGAGTGATGTTACAGAGGCTTTAAGTTCCATTAAAACAGAGATTAAAAGTTTAATGAAAATTTTGAAAACCGATAAAATGTCACCAAAAAATGCATCCCAACTTAAAATTATTATAAGTCAGCTGCAATCTTTGTTGTAAATAAAAAATGTATAAAATAATTTTATTTTACCGAAATTTGTTTTATTTATACAGGGTGAAAACCTTAACCGTAATACATTTTGTATCTTAAAAACAACTTATTTTTCAAAAGTTCCAAAAACACATAACTATCTTATTTGGTAATAATATAGAAATTACAATAAAAAATATTTCTAAAAAGTGTACATATCAGTGTGTAATACAAATGTGTTTCTCATGGTTTAAACATTGTCACTTTAATGCGTTTTAATTTTAATTCTGAATAAAAAACAGTAAAATGGTAAGTGTCCAATTACTGGTTGGTAAAAAATGTAAATTTCTATTATTGGACATATGTCCAATATCATACTCTATTTATTGACAATTTTTATGTAAAATTGTCCCCTGAATCCGAAAAGGCCGTCAAAAACTACAAAAGTTAAGCAGTTTTTGAGATATAGTCAATTCCATATTATATGTAAAATTGATTATATTTCAAAAACTGTTCTACTTTTATAACTTTTGACGAAATTTTCGGATTCAGCGAATAATATTTCATAGGAATTGACTGCTAAATGTCCTGGATACAAATTGCTTTTGACGAGAATTATGCTTTTTCGCTATGACATTTTTAGTCACTGACTAATTCATTTTTAGAGAGTAAGTAATATAGTGATTTAAATACAGTGCATGATAGAGAACATAAAAAACCAATGGCAACAAAATTAATAAATTCGGAAAATAGTTTTAACATACCACCCGAAAAAATATTAGATATATAAATCATCCTGTTCCGGCCTAAACATTATAAATGCTTCACAAACTAGAAATACCACACTTAATGATATTTGCAACAAACTATTTCAGAAGTCAGACCAAGGAATTAGTAGTTACCTTCAGAATCCAGAAAAGGGATGAGGAATCCGAGAAAAAAATATATGAATTATGATATTTACAAAAACGAAATAAAAAAATTACCTAAAACAGCAATTTATCTTCAAAAAATATTTAACAATTTATGTTATTTGATGTAAAGTTGTTATGTTTATATAAAATTTGTATGTCCAATAACTATGGTCCATGTGTCCAATTACTAAAAAAAAAATGTCCGATTACTATACTTTTTTGCAACTATTATTAAAAATTCAAATATTCTTCTTCTTAATATAATACAATTTTAAGAAAGTATAGCACTTATTCATAAATTCTAGGAATAATTATTAAACCATTTTATTACAAACAAATAATCAATAAACTACCTCTAAAATTTTAATTTATGTTAATAAGTCATAGTCCAGATGGCTCATGTAAATTTATTATAGACAAATAAGTTGTGTTCTATTTATAGGCCACTTCTATGTATTGTTTAGTTTTTTTAAATATAGCCACAATAAACAATATTTAAATAATTACTGTTATAATTTATCTATTTTCAAACCAAGAAATAAATAATGGTGATTTACTGCCATTTAATTTATTCCTAATGATAAACATAAAAATTATTCACATTTAACAAATTTTTATTTATGGGTATTTACTTGTTTACCTATACGCTGCAATAAAACCATTTCTTTTATGAGGGTTTATTGTACCTAATACAAAATAAATTCGTGGAATTTGTAGTGACTATACCAATTTTCGGCTACCTGAGTGCTTTCCAAATGCATTGTACCTTTAGAATTTTAAAAAGTTGCATATGGATTGAATTGAAGGAAAGGTACAGTACCTGTAAGAGAATTTATTAAATAGGTGGGTGTAAAACAAGATTCGTAAATTTAAATATTCATTTATTTTATTTTATCTTATGTTTAACAATTTTTGGCATCAATAAAAAATAAGGCACTAGACACCTACATTTATAAGTAACATCGAAAAGAAAGATATGTATACAAAATGTACGTTGATGTACCCAAAACGTGAACCACATTCAATCAATTCTGATTTGTCTATGAACAATTAAAATAATCTAGGTACCCACACGAAAGTTTTAAAGCATAACACAGACCGTTAGAAAGGTAACAACCACGAAAGAGCTTGCGTATGCACTTGCACCACTTTTGTTGTCGGTACTGTTTGGTGCTATAGTGGTGTTGACCGTGACCGTTGTGGGGTGGTGCATCAAGGGTGGCGGCGTGCTGCTAGGGCCGCTTGGGACCCTTGTAGGCTCGCTGGAGGAGCTAGTGTCTTCGGTGGTGGTGGCTGAATCTTGGGAGGAAGCGTAGCACAAAGCGGCCAGCAAAACACACAGAACTAAGTACTTGGCCATCTCGATTTGATTCTGCTTCGACCGGCGAATGTTTAATGCGAAAGTGTATCACCTCGTTGATGCGACGTGAGGAACTAAAACCGTTTGCGTGAACTGGTTGCTAACAATGAAGTCTTTTCGGTTTTGTTTTGACCAACAGCGTCGCGCGCTTTTCTAGTGGGGGTTTCTCGGGGTTGTTCCAGCTATTCAATTATTTTTTTTGCATTGTTTGTTCAACGAATATGTGAAAGGCGTAACTTATTTTATACACTTTTTCAATTCGCTTAATTCAAAATTCGATTTAATTCGTATAATGCATTATTTTAATTACTTATTACATTTTTTATTTTGTAATGAGTAGTAACCAAAACGGTTTTATAACGGTATAGATGGGTGAATCTAAATGAGTTCGACCTACACTTTTATTGTGAGTCTAAAACCTATCCTCCGTGACTGTTACTCTTTCTAGGTTAACCTATATGTTTTCAAATATCTGAGGTGGTAGTAAATTAAACACATTAAAAGCAATCGAATCAAATGTTACAAAAATTGATTCTATCCTCCGTAAATCTGTTTTTGCTTTAAATTTTATGCAACGGATGGCGCTTTAATCTTTTTAAATAAGCAAAAATTAGATTAGATTTGTAATTAGATTTTTTATAAATATTTTATGTACATATGTATAATTGTATTTTTTTAAAATATTAAGGAGTCAAAAGATACAATAACTTATTTCAAATATACAAAGGAATGTTTTAAAAAACATATGAAATCCTAACCTCCGTGAAGCTATCTTCCGTGAAGCTCTAATATTCAAAATGTATGATTTCTTAAAATTCTTGCATTAGTGCAGAACCACTTACATAATATGTTATGTTATACTAGACCTGGTGGCTTCCTAAAAACCCCATTCTAGACTAACAGTGAAACAACCAAAAATAAAAAAATTCAACAAAACCTGAAACCTACAAAATTTTAAAAAATCTTTTAAAAATTATTTGGTTTTAATCATTTTTAATAACTAAAACTTTCCTTCCTATAAATGTTTAGATAAGTAATGAAAGCTTATTTTTCCTTGTTTAGTCAATATAAATATAAAAATAACATAAATAAAACTTCAAAAAAAGTTTTACTTCAAAGTACCTAAATTTTTATATATTAATTTAACAAAATATTTACTTAAAGTTTGGTATAAAAATTAAATTTAATTTTTAAATATCTACTATGATTAATATTATTTTAAAATATTCATATATTATATCACGAGAACTATGAATTTAATCGGTTAAACTGAATGCAAAATAATTTAATAGAATCACGAGACCGTGTAGCGGTCGAGGGGTTTTATATTTAATTATTTTGCATGAAACTATTTTCCAAAAAGAAAAATCAAATAAAAAACTTACTGAGCATAGTTTGACAGATTAAATTTATAGGTTGAGTGATATACCATAGATAATAAATCATATAGATACGCCACTGTCACATATTTGACGCTCCTTGTTACGCACACTCGGCCCGCTATGCCGCTAGTGTACCCGCCTGACATTTATTGGTTTTAGGTTATGGTTTTAATTTAGGTTATCCTGTCAAATTTTGACAGTCAAAATAGTAAAAAATAAAAGGCCTGATAGATTATTTAAATTGTTTATTTGAAAAGCAAAAATAAATGTTTTATATTTTAAATTATTCAAGGTATTTACTAAACTAAACCAATTAACAATATAATAATGTATTCAAGTGAATTTTATCTTATCAAAGAACACAAATCAGTATAAAGTAATAATATTATGTACCACATTTGTGTAAGTAGGTACCTTGTTTTAATAAAATAGTTATAATTGAATAATACAATACAACCTTGTCATCATTGTATGCATCATAACTTGACTGTTAGAGCAGCCCACAGCACAGCACAACACCATGTTAATGTTCAAATAATGTAGCAATATATTTATAAAAAATAGAGTACGCAGATAACGATAAATCGCAATTATAAAAGTTTTTAAGCGTACAGAACAAACCAAATAAACACAATATGAATTTACAAAACTTTACAAAATTTATCAAACTGAAGTTTGTTGATTTCGTTACCAAGCAACCGTCAAGATTAACCGCCGCTCCTGCCACATGCAACTCGAGTGTAAACTAAAACCAAAGTCGACTAGACAAAAATGTGGATTTTGTTTGTTTAAGGCGAGTGCACAGGGCATGGTGATATACGTCTAGATTATTTCTCAAATTAAAGGAAACTGTTTGACAATTCATAAAATCTGACGTATGTGTCAAAATTTATAAATATTTTTTTAAAGAAAATTCCATTAATTTAAGGTATGTAATAAGTAATAATTGATATTTCGTAAACTAGATAACTTATTTTTTATTGTTTTTTAAAAAATGTTTGTTAAAACTTGTAAATAACACCATAAAATCGTAAACAAAAATCCAATATGGAGGCTAAAATTTAATCGCTGTTAAATAGTTCTAGTGATTTAATCGCTTATTTCAGGGCTCCCAGCAGGTAGTTTTTTTAAAGACTTGTCTATATTTTTGTCTTAAGTCTATAAAAGTCTATTTTTTTACCTAAAGTCTATAAAGTCTATATTTTCTGTTAAAATCAACTATTAAAAAATATTTTTTTAAATATAAATATTCACAGTTTTATAAATATCGAAACCACAGTAAACCAAGTGAAACATTCGAAAACTTCGCAGTTTACATTTAAAGTTCCCGCCGTCCAGACCCGAACCGCCCGCCAAAATTATTGCTGAATTGTTTCTGGTTTGGTCTAGGGTTTCGTTTACGTTTATAGTTTCGGTTCGCTAGGTTAACACTACCTATACAGGGTGTCCGGGAAAATGTGGGAAATATCTCGGATTCAGATAGAACATGAAAAAATAAGATGACACATTCCTATAAAAAAAATTCCTACTGGCCCTCCTTGCGGAGACATGGGCCCCGAAAGGACGCGCCTGCAAATTGGTTTTCCTTGAATAACTTTTAAAGTACTGAATATAATTTAATAAAAATTTAATATGATGGACCCTGGTAGGGACCTCTTAAAGTAGTGTTCTTGAAACATGTTTTGCTTTTTTTGTTTACCAGGGACGGACTAAGTTTTATACCTTAATGCTTAAATTTTGAACACCCCGTATGTAAAGACTTAAAAAAACTAAATTTGCGTAGCGTGAACCTTAAACTAAAATAAAGGTACTCTTGTTTATTGTCAATAAAATGAACCGTTTTCGAGAAAAAGAATAATAAACGAATTATTGTTTTATATTAAATAAAAAAACCGTTTTCGGGAAAAGGAATAATAAAAGAATTATTGTTTTATTTTTAATAAAAAAGACCATAAAGAACGTATTGTTGCAAACAAATAAAAATGTTAAAAAAATATGTACGGCTCAACTAATGTTTGAAGGGGTGAACCATCCCAAAAAAGAAGCGGGGAAGGTAACTTACAAGATTTAGAAAAACGAAAGGCGAAAATTATAGATCAGCTGCAGCCTGCAGCCCACCAAAAAAATATAACCCATTAAATGACTGATGCCAGTGTCTTTTATATAAATGTGATTCTATTTATTATAAGTCATAATTTATTACAGAATTTAATATTTTTTTGTTATTTATGTATTTTATAACAGTTATGGTTACTTGTTAAATTTAATTCAATAAAAATTTATAATTTCAAGTTATCTCTATGTATTTTAAATTCAAATTTAGATCTTTTATCCCAAAAAAATGTATACCTCCATTTTATAGTTATTTCGGTAATTAATTTGGTCTATATTTGGTCGTTTATTTTTTATTATTAGTCTCTTAAGTCACTATTTCTCGCAACATGGACTGCTGGGAGCCCTGGCTTATTTAAACGAAATTTATTCGAAAATTCAAGGCTTTTGATTGGTTCATATTATAATGAGGGAAATAATCATTACAATAAAAACTTTATTTTTGTATATAAAAATCCAACAATGAATCATAACTCCCAAACCATACATTATTGGAACAACACTGAAACTCAGTAGGTATGTCGCGTACTTGCTAGGTACTTAATTCGTTTTTTCTTTCGACTCCCCTTTGACTCTTACTCATACTTGGGTTTTCAGAGACATATTCTTCCGTTGGAACTAACCTTACGCGTATGAAACATTAAAGTGTTATTATTTTATTAATAATAACTTAATAACTTACGTACCAAATTTGGAAGAAATAATTATTTTTTATTGGTTACAAATCTCACGTACTCTCTAATGAATTAGTTTTCCTGTATTAAAATTCATTGCTTCATTACGATTCTTAATCAATTTCCAGGTAGTTACAAAAATCAATTATAAGAATCTATCAAACGTTAATAATCGATTTCTAAATGCATTCTTATAGTTATCCATTTCTCAAATTTTAAGTTGGAATTATACCCAAATATTGAGCATGTTCGTTTAGTTATTTCAGAATAATTTTTTTTTTAATTTTGAAACTTGTGAAACACATTTTCGCATGTCCATTTAGCATTTTATAAAACTTACATACATGTTTTTTTAAATATTGAATAACCAGAACTTTGTGTTGCTTTATAGCAATCCATAACATCCTTAGTTAATACAGTAAACGATTTATATATAAATTATAATTTTAATCCACGTTTTTAAAATTTGACTCATGTCCCAGACATTTTTTCCGTTGCGTTACGTCCGTCGCGTTACCGATAGAATATTAAAAAAAACATATATATGGCAACTTTTTTGGCACTCCCGTAATCAACAAATGATTTTCGGACGTACACATTACCCAGCTGAATTTATTTATTCAATCAGGAAGAAGATATCGGTTGAAACAGGTGCGGGTAACGCGAATGTAATAATTGTTTGTCCGCTAAGTTACTCAAAAAAATGATAAAAATAAGGTAAGAAAAAATACTATTTTTCATGTGTATGTTTATTTTAGGGCACTAAATCTCATTGAGAGTAATTAATGACTGTAATGTCTTATTATTATTTTTTAAATATGGTTTTACAAAACTTTGTCCACTGCGTTACCGAGTCCACTATGTTACCTTATGGTAACGCAATGGAATTTAGGGTAACGCAATAGAATTTTTCGACAACAAAGTGGATATTTACCGTCGCTTTTATTAAAAGTAGTTTATGATTAACCAATTTAAAATTATTTGTAATTACAACTCATGATATAGATTACATCCAAGGAAAAATTCCACGCAATATAAAAGTACTAAAAGGGACCTTCACCAGCTTATGGTCAAAGAAAAAGGGTGTCTACAATTTAGAAATCTAAGTTGTTATTCTGCAAGTGAGCACCACTACAAGGGATTTGCATTACTCTAAAATCGTACGGTACGATTCGTACCACCCTTTATAGTTTCTTTTTTACGTTATCTGATTAAGTCCTTTGTGTACCCCTGTCCGTTGTGATACCAATGTCTATTTCGTTACTTTTATTAGTTTTTGTTAAAAAAATACTTAAAATGATTTTTATACACTATCACTTGGTAATACGTCGTGTTTATAAATTAGAGTTTGATTCATTAATACAGTGACTAAAAGAAAATATTAATGGTATTGTTTTTTTAACAAAGAATCGGAATGGTTTCTTTTAAAAAGTAACTTAACGAACATACATATTTAAAAAAAGGCATATAATTTTTAATAAAAAATAAAATAAAATATTGCAGTCTAAAGTACATTTTATTTCAAATTATTTTTATAACAACTTTTTTTATTGAATTAAATTTTGGATTTCAAATTTGTAACACAGTGGAGATATATAAAGCTAGCTAAACACATTTTTCTGAAAAAAACGTAAAAAAAAGTGCACTGCCTGTCTTAAATGTAAGTAAACAAAACTCTAAACATTTATAAAAATCCAACCAAAAGTCAATTTAAGCAAAAAAAATATTTTGATCTTCATTTTCCTAAAAGCGGGTGTTTCTTGAAAATGACCCATATATATTATATAAGGGACAAAAGAAAAAATGAAAAACTGTGATACCAATTTTTTAGTATCGAAAGTAAAAAAATATTCGATTATTTTTTAATCACTCTAATCTACATTTTAATTCAATTTTTTTTTATTCATTCAAGGTGTACAATAAAAAACAATTGTCTCAGATCCTTAAAATAAACCGAATGAATTTGGCAGGCAATGCATCACCTCGTTAAAAATGCATGGTTAATTTTAGCCCCATAATATTAATCGGTTCGTAATTACAAATTGCGATTAAAAAACCATATGACGACGCAAAAAATAGGTAGTCATTTAATTGGTATTTGAATAATTGGTTGATAAGTAAATTTTTAAAAATAATATTGCGGCTATGTTAAACTATTTACACTGATAATACATTTGTTTTCCAACTGTTTTGCTAATAAGAATTTATTGAATGTTCTATACTTTTGTTTTTTTATTGTCTGGTAAAAAAGCAAAAATAAACAGGGATTTTTCAAAATTTTATATAAACTATACTTATACTTAGTGGCAGTGGCAATTCAGGGGGGGGGTAAGGGGCTCAAAGCCTACTTAAAAAATTAGGGTGACCCATCTAATTAAAATGCAAATTAAATTAACGATCCTATATTAAAATTTTACAATAACCTTTGAAGACAATGTCACTAATAACTATAAAACAAATAACACCTTGTGGTTTGTAATGTAAATAAATACCTTTAAAACATATTGACGCGTTAAGCAAGATAAATAACAATTTTTCGTCAGCTATTTTGTTTGGTATATACAGGGTGAGTCTTTAGTTCTAAGATTAATTTGCAAACAAAAAGACCTCCTTTCGTTAAGCAGTCATTCATAATGAATTTTTTAACAGTGGAAGAAAAAATAAAAATGGTTTTGATTTACGGAGAAGCAGGCAGGAATCTTGATGATGCTGTTAATACCTACGCTCAGCGTTTTCCGGATAAAATTCGATCACGTACTTCATTTCACCATACAGTCAAGCAGTTTACTACAAACGGGAGTGTTCAACCGAAAAAAAGAGTTCGTCGAGCAACAGTCACAACAACAAGTGGAAATAATGAAATTAATATATTAGCAGCAGCGGCTGCTAATCCTCAAATAAATAAATGACTCACTCTGTATATTCAACAATAACTATTACATTTGATTTTTTATTTTAATAGATTAAAGGCAACTTTAAAAGGCCCTATTATGAGACCTTGAATATTTGTTAGTTATTTAATATTTTTTTGTTTAAATGCCAAAAGGCTTAACCGCCATTATGCAAATATGACAATTAACTTTGCAAACCACCTTTTAAACCGGTTAAGTAAGTAGAAAATAAATATCCATTGTATTTACCCTTTATACAAATTATTATATAACAATAAGTTTTACAAATTTTTTGTCAGGTGTTAAAATAAAGAATAAGAACTCAATGTGTGAATGTCTATAGTGCTTGCAAATGCAAGTCCGACCGCACTGGAAAGGACGGCTGTTCAATACCCGCGTGAAAAGAACAAGGATAGAACGCCAAATAGAATTTGATTGGCCAGAGCCCCGGATGCGTGCGAATTGTAAGCGAGGTCAACTCTGGGCCAGAGTCTCTGGCTGCATTTCAGTGTTGCCAAGTCGGTGCATATTGCACTAGATCTGGTGGATTGAACCTCCATCTAGTGCCCGGAATTCGATTTTGGTGCGCTAGTGCAAAATCTAGTGCATCATCGATCATTAACCAAATTTGGTAAATAACAATGAAAAGGCGTTTATACAATGGTTTTATTTTCATAATTTTTCATACAACTGAGCCACAGCCCACATTTATTTCAGAAAATCTGAATAGGCCCTTGTCCAACAGTCCACCATGCTGACGGCCGTTGTGTTGGTAGGCCATACCTGTGGTGGTAGTACCCCTAAACTTGGTTTAGGGTAATACCACAGATTATAAAGGTAGCTGCTCTGCGATTGGTTTGTTTGTTAAATTCTTTCACAGAACCTCTGTTTCGATGTATTATTTTTCGTTTGTTTCAAATAACAAAAGAAGTCTAGTATAGTATATTCTTATTCTATGGAATAATATATTATTTTCTATGGTATGGTCTAGTTCTATAGCGATTTATTGTTTTTATACTTTTAGATGCCGAAACCACAATATGAGCAACAATGTCGAGTAGTGTGGCTAAAGGACCCTGCCCTAAAGCAATGGCTTACCAGTGTGGAAATGCCTATGCTTAATAAAGTTTAATTTTAAAATTATTTCATGGTTGCTCATTCATACATTGTGTTCATCTAGAGTGAAATTCAGACTACTGCATAGATTACTGATCGGGTGGATTTACACCGAAGTGAATTTGGTGCTTTTCTAGTGCATTTTTCATTGCTATATAGTGCATAGCTACTTCAAGCAGTTGGCAACACTGCTGCATTTAGACTAAATGATTTAGTGTTAAGCAAACTGCGTTGGAGTGGAGATGCACATTTTAATTTTCTTTTTAAATATTTTATACCCGAATCCTAAAAATAAAATGTTTTGATTTTTTTCCTTAAGAACTAGGGCAACAACAAAAATAGTATTCTTAATAAAAAAGATTTCTCAAATAAAAATAACTAAAAATAAAAATATGTCCCAAATACACTGTAATTTATTTGATTTGAAATATTTATTATTTCGCCTTATTTTGACTTAATATCAAAAAAGCACCCTAATTTTCAATCAATCGTAATCAGAATGAAGTATCTAAATTCAATAGTATGATTTACATGTATTTTTATATTTTATGAGATTTTCTGACATAAATGTTATTAGAATTTAATAAATAAACTTTTTAACTAAAAAAAATTGCAACAATCACATTTTTTTGATGAAATTGTACATAATGATTAAAATAAATTTTCGAATTCGAGTTTTTTTCGTTATTCATTATAATATTTTTTGCATTTTCTGAGAACATTTACCATAGTAATGTATATTTTTTTACACCATCAGAAAGTAGAGATTTCAACAAACAAAAAGCACACCGACTTTTTGAAAAAAGCTGATATTTTGACGCGAGAATTTTCGATTGAAAATTAGGGTGCTTTTTTGATATTAAGTCAAAATAAGGCGAAATAATAAATATTTCAAATCAAATAAATTACAGTGTATTTGGGACATAAAAAGGTAAGTTTTCACCAAATTTCGTGGAAAAAATTTTTTTTTTGAAAAAGATAAAAATAAAAAACCAAAAACTTGGTTTTTTGAATTTTTCCCATAAATTTGGAGGTTATGTAAAAAAATTGTAATTACAAAAGTTGTAGATCCTTTTATTACCTACAACTTTGCCATTTAACTTTTTTCCATAGGACTTGTAGTTTTACCGGAAATCGAGATAAACCATTTTTTACCCTTAAAACCCCCCCTCCCACTTCCCAAAGTCAGATCGCCCGTAATTTATTTTTCCTTTTATTTTTATTATATTCTTCTCCTTTTCCAATGGGTTTCATCCTACTTTTATTTTTTTTGGTTTCAAAAATTATCGACCCTGGTCTAATAAAACTCTAAAAATAAATAAACTGAAAAATTAAATTAAATGTTCGAACAAGCAATTATTAACGGTTCGTCGAATTGTTTCTCTGTTTGGTCTGGCCTCGAACATTCCCGCAAATAATCTTTGAATTTCTCGTTCAGAATTACCAGCAAAATGCCAGATTAAAATCTGAACTTTTTGTTCCAACGTGTACCTACATTTTTTAATTAAATAATCTTTTTTACTAAAATTACTACCTCTTGGCAAGAGGCTCTTGCTGGCACCACTGCAGTTCTCGTTCTAATATCCTCGTGTCAAGCACGCTGCGAGGTGCGCGATGGGTATGCGTTGTCGTAGCCTGCCGGCTGGCCAATCAAATTCTATTTGGCGTTCTATCCTTGTTCTTTTCACGCGGGTATTGAACAGCCGTCCT